CAATCTAATTAAAAATGTGTAACTCTCATTTCTTAAGCGGTACCTCACAGGGTGTCCATTAACAAGCAAAATAAACTCAGAAACCCTGGAGCACGCGTCTTCAAGACAGGACGCTGGACACAGACCGCGGAAATGCGTATTCCCAGGAGCGGACGTCTCGGTCCCTGAATTTACACTGCCTTTCGTGCAGGCAGGAGGAGGAAAGTTTTCTGTAGAATCTCAGGTGGCTAGGACAGAAGGGAAGCCAACAGCCAAGGGAAAGCGACAGTCTCGTTGTAATTAGAGGCATCACCAAGGGAGGACATGGCTGTGCACATCCAGAGTGGGGAGCACAGGGCAGGGTGGCTAAAAGAATGTCCTCTGGGACCACGATTCTCAGGCCGGATCCCGGCTTCCCAACCACCTAGCTCAGTGACTCAAGGTGAACCTGAGTCATTTAATTTCTACTCGAACCTCAGTCTCCTCATCTGAAAAGGGGGTGCCTATCTCACAGCACTGTTGTGAGAATTAAAGGAGTCAAAACACATAATGAAGAATCTAGAACTGCCTAACACATAGTAAGCTCTCCATAAATATTGGCTAGTATCATTCTCTGGAGATCTTTAAGATTTGAGACAAAAGAGAAAAATAACACATTCTTAGATGGGGATGGTGTGCAACCTGTATTTGCTGGAATCTGGAGCCTGGCACATGGCCGACAGCCAGAATAATAATGTCCCCGACAGTTCCCTGAGCACCTCCTGCTGAGAGAGATCTAACAAATGCAGGATGCACAAGGGGACAAAGGATAACGAGCTTTCTGGGTCTCCAGAACGGCAGATCAGCATCGAGTGGCCACTGTCACATCCAGACCTCAATCTTGACAAGTTCAATTCATTTATTCAAAAACACTTGTTAAGGGACACTGTCATAAGGTTGGTGATTTTCACCCTCTGGGAGCTCATAGTCAAAATAATTTCAGAGAGAAGACATATTGATATCCTTTAAAAAATGTAGTCCATCAGTCAACAGCATTTAATAAGTGCCCTTTGCTTGTGACACATTTCACCAGGTGCCTCAGGACATTACGCAGACAAGAGAATTCGCCTCTGCATTCAGCACAAAGAGCGTCAGCGAGGAGAGTGAGACCGTAGGGGACCGCAGTGCGACACACAGGCACGTAAGATCATGCACTGAATCCTGCTCTGTCGGAATTTGAGACTGACGAATTTCTGTCATTACACATTTTTTATCCTATAACTGACCTGTGTACCAATTTAAGGATACCATAATAATAATTTCAATAATTATTACAAGCCTAGGTAAGAAGTATTACTGCCCAAATGTAGCTGAACACTTTGGAAACACAGCGTGTCTTACTTATTGCTTTTACGTGAAAACCATATCGTTAATCAAAAAATAAATTGAACTGCATATAAGTAGTCAACATGTCCACATAATTAAACTGATGAATTATAATCCACATTTTCTGATATTTCTTATGAAAACTAAGTATTATAGGAATTACGTCTTTGAAAGTATTGTGAAGAAAATAAACACACGTTAAAGACACAGAGAACATTTTGGAACCAGAGAAAGAAATGTTCTTAATGATTATCTTCAGAGCAGAGCAAGAAGGTGGTCGTGGATTTAAATCCAGGTGGACAGAAACTAATTATCCCTCTAAAAAAAGTTAGATAATATAAAAGAATCTATAACCAATAAACAACATGACAGAAATCAAAACCAACCCAAGAAAAATTACCTACATATTTCTTCCTAGCCTAGGACTCTGATTTCATTTATATCTCACAAGGGAATTGGAGAAAAGAAGGTTTTTGTTTGTTCTGATTTCTTGGTGAGTAGGCTAAAGTCTTAAGAATTTTTATATAATGTAAAAAGCACCACAGGAAAAAATCCCTGAGCAACTAATGAACCTTATTTGTTCTCTTTTAATTCTGATTTATACCAAGTCCAATATGAATGTTCTGGTTCTGGCTTTCAACTGAAGGTAAAATATAAAATGACTTTTAGGCCATTTAAATCATTCTATACTTTTCAATAGATTGAGCTCGACAATATTAGAGCCTAGGATGTTCCCTTTGTTTTCAAATGAGTAATGTAGCTTTCTCCTCCCTCTCCCCGTTTTGACTCTCTTCTTCCCTTCCCCCAGTTCCTTCTTATTTTCTTACTTCTTTCCTTCCCTTCTCTCCTTTCATCTTAAATACATATCCCTTTAAAGCATTTGATGTATTATTTAAACTCTGGCCATCACCGTAGTTCAGGTGGAGCTACAGCTACACAGCGATAAAGCACCTTCTGTCTTGGGGGTCCTAAGTCTCAGGCAAGGGCAGCTAGTCTACCACGAAGCACTGACCAGAAGCCAGGATACGGATTGTTTAAGGTGGCCATCAGTCCTGCCTGAGCAAGAAAGAAAACAAAGCCCCAGGCTGTCTTACTAGAGAGCTAAGATCCCTTCCCTTAATTGATCTCCTGCTTCATTTACAAAGGAACATATGTCTTTCTGGGAGATGCAGGAAAAGAGGTACTCTTTCAAATCTCCCCAGTCTCGTGTGGCTCCCCCAAATCCTCTCGGCAGAGAGGAAGAGAGAAGTTGGCAGGTTTCAGCATATTAATAGCAAACAACAAATTAGTAACTATGTACTTTAATCTTCAACATTCATAATTGCACAAAGTATCACTGATCATTTAAATAATACAATGTCAATTAATCTAATGAAGAAACTAGTAAAGTATAACACTAAGAGCAATACCTCAAGCATGTAAAAAAATGTCTGATAGTAACATTTAACACACAAAGCACAGAATCAGAACAAGTCTTTTGAGGAGTGGATGTTTAAAATCCTTAGTAGTGGGGCAAAGCACTATGAAGAAATACACGTACATTTATTCAACCTGTCAGATCTCTCACATAAATACACAACAGTTCTAATAGGTTTGGCTAAACCGACTGTCCACATATATACAGTGGTTTCTAACACTCCGACGTGGTTTGATGATGGGAATGCAGAATCCGAACGAAGGGAGACTACTATTTACTTTCAAAATAGAATCGGGTGGGGAAGCCTAAACTCGTGACTAGCCAGCCTGAAAATGGCATAACTGGAACTTTGTTACAGACAAAATATTTTTTCCTTAAAAATGTGTACGTGTCAAATCGCTGAAAATCTTATCCATGCTAAGGGAAAGTTGAGTGTGGAAAAATTTGCATTTTTCTATCTATGCTGTAAAGAAAATAAAAAGCCACAGCATTTTGGCATTGGCAAAGGGCTAAACTAAATTCTCAGGCAATAAATTTATGGGGAAACACGACAGGCTCCTTGTTAAAGCTATATGTACGCTGGCTGAATTTTATACAAGACTCTTGAATCTTGTGGAAAATTGGGCACGGCTGGACATCGGAACAATGTCCCTGGTTTGTTTGTATTTCAAAGCATCGGAAAATGTTGCACTTTGGAAATCAAGTAGAGAGGAACAAACACGCTCTAAAACAGAGCTGGGCTGAATCTGAAAGTTATTTCTCCATATGTCTCTATGAGATATTTATTACATTTATTTCTCTTACAAACACAGCCCCCATGCTAGAAATACTGTGGTGCTTTTTTTTTTTTTTTTTTGGTGGAGAGAAAATAGTACCGTGAAGGCAGATCTCACCCAGCAGCGGGAACCAGCGGGATAGGCAATTTTCAGTTGGCTTTTCAGAAGCTGGTTGCCATGACAAAGAGCACAATTTATTCCTTGGTCCCTTATCACAGATACGATCACAGACCATGAAAATTAACAAGGCTCTTTTCCTTTTCCGTATAATTTCAGAGTCCCTCATCCTTACCTGAGGTCTTTTGTTCCCCCAATTAAATGGAATGAATGTCAGTCATCTAGCAATTCAATTAATGCTGATTCAAAATTCCGGCCAAAACCAGAATCTATAATCACAACTTCCTAATCACAGCTCAGTCATGAGAATGAAAAGTAAGCAGGAAATTGCACTAATTACTCAATTAGACTAATACTGTATTCCTAAGCGAGGGCTTCAGGGGCTGTCAGCCCTCACAAAGGACTTCGGGGTCCTCTTCACCTTGTGGGTCCCCAGTTGTCTGATTGAAGCTGATATTTTCAAGTGGCCATAATTTCTATCCAATCTCACATGGATGTGCCCAAGCTGGGCAGTGGAAATTCACAACTGCTATACCGAACACAAGGGAGGGACTGCTCGGGTGGGCTTTGCGGGGCTCTCGACACAGACCTGTACAATGGCCAGGGCTTTCCTGGGAGAGGCCCTCCTCCTCAGGGTGAAGATAGTTGAGTGCATACCTTTCTGGTTCCAGGAAAACATCCAGTGAGGGGGAACATTCAGGAAGTGTATAGCTACTCTACTAAACCTTAACACTGGGTGATGCTCGCAGGCACTGGCCTCCAAACTCACAACAGACCTGCGCTGAGCTGGGCAGAGAGCTCTGCAGCGAGGGAGCCCGCACTCGGTGTGGGGCCTGCGCGGGGCTGGGACTTAAGACTCATCTGCACCCTTGAGGACAGCTTCTTGCCCCAAGCCTACCTGGAGAAGCCTTCATGAAATCAAGAACAGCGAATGGAAAAACTGACTGGGGAGAACACTGCGGCAGATGTGGCTGAAGTATTTACAGAACAACACAGGATATAGCTCAAACAAGCTGGACCTTTTTTTTTTTTTTTTAAAGCCTACCCTCCCCCCCAACTTAGGATTCTTTTTTCCTTTTCGGTTTCAAAAGACTTAAATATTCTGTAAACAACAGGGGAGACACTAGAGTCTGTCGTGCCTCTGATTTTTGTGGTCACCTGTCAAAATCCTTCCCAAGTTGGCCGTGGGGAGCGGAAGTGGACATAGGCAGAAGGAAGAGGGCCTATCCCACGTGTCCCAGGCTTTCTTCTGCAGCAGTTTCTGAAAATGACCGAATTGGGATCTGCTCAGGGGTTCCAAAAAGAGAAAAAACATTTATTTTATTTGACTAAGTGAGACAAAGTCTTTACTTCCAGGGTTTGCCTTGCTGATGTCCACTGCTGAGTGAGCGGGGGTTCGAGTGGCCGGCAGGGCCCCCGGCAGGCAGGTTCTGACCGCTGCGGGCACCAGGCACCTTGGAGTCTCTTCCGGAGGAGTTAGCTTGGTTCAGCCGGCCTGAAGCGAGCAAGAAAGCAGAGCTGCAAGAATGATTCCAAGGACAATCCGCCAGATACACTTTTAGGCTAATGAAGTCCTAATCTACAACCACTTTTAAGCTAATGAAATCCTGTGAGGCATCTGCTTTAGGCCAGTGATGACCTACTCCTCATCCTTCAGATCAGCTTGAAGGTGGGAAGGGAGCAGGGACGGAGGGAAACCCAGATAGCCTTTTCCCCTTCTTGCCCATTACCCGCAGCAGGCCTGGCCTGTCCTTCATTCCTTCCTTGGTAGAGACGGATGCAGGGTAAAGAGCACTTAGTGGAAAGAGAAGAGTAAGTAGCGTGACACAGGAAAGGTAGGTAGAAGGCCCTCAGAAGTTTAAATGTACCCAGAGGCAGCAGAAAGAAATGAGAGCTTTCCAAGAAGGAATCTGGATGCCTTAAGCTTAGCTTCTCAACTTTGCCTGAAATGGACATTTTGATAAAGTCTCTTCTCTGTGTCTGTGCTCAATGCCTAATTCTTGCCACTATTTGAAATCATCTTCACTGTCCCCTCTCCCTGGACCTGCACCACATCCTCCCAAATATTTTAAGAATTTAATGTGAGACAAAGCTTTTCATATGAGGTGATGTTCAAAGTTGCAAATTTTACGTTCCACGGAAAATATTAAAGGTCAAAAAATCTTACTAGAATTATCTGCAGGACCCTGATCCTCTTCCAGATAATATTCTATCTTTTTTAAGTCTTCTGGGGTAAATCTCCATTTATTCTCAGCTGGTAGGGGCGGCACTTTGGGGCTGGATCGTTTCCGGGCAGAACCAGGAGGAAGGGCCTGCTGGCAGTGCGCTGGCAGGGAACCAGTAATTAGTCCTTCTGGGAATTTCTGACCTAAGACTTTTAGACCTAGGTTTAGAAGAACATCAGAAAAAGCAGCATTAACAGGGTGAGGCCAACCCAAAACCTGAAAAGAAGCCTGCATGTCTTCTAATCTTTGATCACCAAGTCGAGGCCGACACAAGTGCATGAAATCTTTCTTAACTGTTTCATCCTTGAGCAACTTACACCAGAACATGTCAGGAGTTACATGGGATTCTGAGGATGCCACAAGAAACCCTTTTGCTCACATCTTCAGCATCAGGGCTTTCTTACCGAGCCCTGAAGCAACATCATTATTTTAGGAATTAAAAGCACTTGCTGATGTAGCTAAGGTAAATTTCGCATAACTTGTGACTCCTTTGGCCAGCATGGTTTTCTCTCTTTCCAGAACACTAAATTCTGAGCACTGAGAGGAAAAAGGTGATGGAAGTGGGGCTGAAGGACTCTGAGTCCAAGTTTCTGCCTCTTAAGTCCCGAGAAGAGTACGACTTTGCTCACCTCCGGAAAGCATGAAGAGATTTTCAAATCCCCGCTCGCACATGGTGGTGGCTGCCTGGCTGGCCAGCCTTTCATCGTCGTCGTACAGAATGATGATCTTGCCGTGGGCATTTTTCTAAGAGTCGGATGAGTTAAGGTTCCATGGCACTGAGCCGATGCTCCTACACTATCAGAAACCAAGGGGCAGAGGGCTGTCAAGGTTCGCCCTTCTGAGTTCTGGGGAATGTCGGATGAGCCCACTCTTCCCGTCACACCAGCAGTTATTGGATTACTGGGTTTTACTGCTGTCATGAAAGCCTCGCAAACTAGTATTCTTTTCTTTTACAAACTAATGTTACCATGGTCTAAGACAGGACTAGTTACAGACTTTACACCCTTGAGTTCTTTTATCCCTACAATCCTGGAAAGTAAATACTACAATCTCCATTTTACAGACAAGGAAATAGAAAAAACTTCTGTGTCTAATGTGTCCACGGAATCCTTATTTATACTAGTTAAACATGGGAGCCACCTAAAAGTCCAAAATAGAGCAGAATGGTTTAGTAAATTATAGTGAATCTCAAGATGAGATATTATACAGTATCAAAAATGGAGTTTACAAAAAGCTTGTGTCAGCGTGGGGAAATACATTATAATACGAAGTCAAAGAAAGCAAGGTACTAAGTTACATATACAGTATGATTTCAACTTTCTTTTTTTTTTTTTTTGAGACAGAGTCTCACTTTGTTGCCCTGGCTAGAGTGCCATGGTGTCAGCCTAGCTCACAGCAACCTCAGACTCCTGGGCTCAAGGAATCCTACTGCCCCGCCTCAGCCTCCTAAGTAGCTGGGACTACAGGCATGTGCCACCACGCCCAGCTAATTTTTTTTTTCTATATACTTTTAGTTGTTCAATTAATTTCTTTCTATTTTTGGTAGAGACGGGGTCTCGCTCTTGTTCAGGCTGGTCTCGAACTCCTGAGCTCAAACAATCCGCCCGCCTCAGCCTTTCAGAGTGCTAGGATTACAGGCGTGAGCCACCGCGCCCGGCCTGATTTCAACTTTCTTAAAAAACACATAGGAGACAGTCTGAAATAAAATATATCAATAATATAATATAATAGGAGCTACTGCTCAATTGTATAGATTATAAGAGATTTCAATTTTCTTTTTTATACTGATATTTTTCAATATTTAAATTATTTTCTACTTGTAAGTTTTTTATGAATGAAATAAATTAAAATTTTAAGAAGAAAAAAGTTAAAATAAATTTACTTCTTAAGTTCTACTTGGGAAAGCTTTCTGGGGGGAAAAAAGCTCTTAGGACTATTCTCAATGGATCCTAACCCTTAACCTAATGTTTTTTGGCCCAATGCAATATAGTTTGGAAGCATCTGTCTTAATAGAGTCAGGATTCTCAGCAACGGCTAGGAATCCAAATTCTAAAAGATGCTAAGCTGATTAATATCAAAGGTCCTTCACAGTTTTTTTACCAGGAGCATGACTCAAGATACATTTGATTCTTACAATCCTCATACTACCCAACTCCTTAAAATGCAACAAAGGATACATATTCAAGAATATCATTTGAATAAGGGTTCATTGTTCTCGACAGAGTTGCAATTGGGTAACTGTAAGCTGCAAAGAGAAGAAAAAGTTTAGGAAGTCTGTAGTTCTCTTGGTACAACTTGGCTCCAATTTCCAGCTGGTTTAAAATCTAAGATAAATAAATATATTTTCAAAATCATGAGCCATTAACCTAAGTACTTCTGTGAAAGAAAAGAAACAGGACACTATGAACAAAGTATGAAGCTTCACTTCACTGGTTCCGACAGCCATCTGTGCAAATCAGCAGCCCCTCCCAGAGCACCACAGTGGCGCCAACACTATAGGCTTCCATAATGGATGCAGCTAACACACCGTTTCCTTCACTGCTGACCGTGGGCTGTGGTTCAAGTCTGCCTGGACTCAAGGACAGACTCTGTTCTTGAGCGTTGAGTCACTTTAAAGCCTTCTCTCTCTTACCTCCAACAATGTGGCACTGCTGGTAAGAGTCTCTATCGCGCACATCTAGCAGCAGGAAGGGACAGTCAGGATAAGGTTTGTCTTTGGTATTGGGCTCTGCTTTCTTCACTAGCCCTTTGTCCAGATCCAGTTCCCCAACACCACTGATGACGCTGCAAGTGAAAAAGTAGGTCAGCAGAAACCAGTCAGGGGTTGGTGGCTTAAAGGTAAATGCGTTTCTTCAGTACAGTGAGACAAGTGCTCAGTATTTTTTCAAAAGATGCTTCAAAGAGAAAGGAAAGTGGACACAGTGTCTCAGTTCTGCCTCTGAATGCAGGGTCCCATGGATTCCTATTCTATCACGCTGGGCCCCAAAGAGAAGATCCACACGTCCCTACTCACCTTCAGACAGTGCACGTTAAGTCATTACATGACTGAGGGGGTAGAAACTGCAGGGCACGTGCTGCCTCCAGCAGCGGGGGCAGCATCCAGAGGAAGAAAGAGGGGAACAGCTAGTCCAATGGAATTTGGAGGAATGTAAGAAATCAGAGCAAAAGGGGAAAGAATAAGGTTGCCAGCACTGGAAAAATGAAAGTTGTTACTATGTATATGTAATATATAAAGTAATAATAATACTTTATATGTTTCATATACTTATCCAGTGACCTATTCACTGTAGATATTGAACCTTAATACTTTCAATAGTTATCTGTACTTACTTTTATTTTATAGGTTATAATGTTGAGATTGAAGAGGCTTTTATGTTTGGTGACATTCATAGAATGAGACAGAGGAAGGGCTAAGATTAAAATGAAGAAGTTTACCACTGACAGTTCTTTTCTAAGGTCATTAAGTCACTACAATTGGTCACCATCTTAACGTCATAGGAAAGATGTGGTAAAAACATGAATAAAAGGAATAAGAAGATTAAGTGTTATGAACAAAATGGCAAATTGTGAGACATCTGTATTGGAATAAGAAGATGGTTACTTGCCTTGAAAATATCAAGACGCATATGCTAAACTACAGACCAGTATGTAGCACAGTTCCTCTCTCACCACAACAAATGAAATTCTGCATTTAAATCCGATAAATACTATAACTCTTAGCCAGGCGTCGTGGCGCGTGCCTGTAGTCCCAGCTACTCCGGGAGGCTGAGGCAGGAGGATCGCTTGAGCCCAGGAGCTGGATGTTGCAATGAGCTATGATGACGCTACTGCATTCCAGCCTGGGCAACAAAGCAAGACCCTGTCTCGAAAAAAAAAAAAAATACTATAACTTTATGCCATATAGTGCATATTTTGTTGAACCAAAGGAGAAGAAAATCTATTTGATATGAAACTGTATCTGCAGTAGAAGTCCTATTGGCCTATCTCTTCTTGGATGCATTTTTAGAGTCCTTTCATAAAAGTAGTATAATGATGGTGATGACAATAATAATAGTACTGATGATAGCAATTCTTTCTCTAGCAGAATTGTTTTACCAGTAGAAGGGATGGCTATGTGCTGAATCTCAGCAATGTCTTAAAATCAATAGTTAATATTTGTGAGAAAGGACTGCATGGAATAAAGTCCATGTAAATCCATGGGATAAGAAGGATCATGTCTCAGAAGAAGGAGTAGAGAAAAAAATAAAAGAAATAATTTTCAAAAAAGGACCAGCCACGTGCAGTTTTAGAATCAACACCAAGTGCTGCTTCGCCCTCCTTTGCACCTATTCAGCATTGGAGCACCATGTGCAGTGTTGTAACTCTAGACAGGGTAATTATAAGCTGCGGCGGATAGAAAAGGGGTGGAAGCTATATTCTCTGAATCAAAAGATACTACTTGTAAAGCTAGGTCCTAATAACAAACTTCTGTATAGGAGAGAGAAGAATGGAACTGAGAAGTGAAAATTAATACTCTATTGATACAGTCTTACATTAACTCAGTAAGAATACTGTGAAAATGGTTCAGGAGGTGGTGTTTATATAGAGAAAACTCTATTGATATACTCTTACATTAACTCAGTAGGAATACTGTGAAAAAGGTTCAGGAAGTGGCGTTTATACAGAGAAAGTAGAAGGGCTGGGATTAAAAGGTGGAACTTTACAACTGCCAGTTCTGTTTCTAAGGTAAATAAATTACTGAAATTGGTCTCTAGATTAATATGGAGGTAAAATACAGTGAAAACATGAATCAGGTGAGAGTACCTCTGAAGAGTCGAGCGACTGGAGTCCCCTGCTCCCGTGCTGTTTATGAACTGGACCGGGCTGGGTGACTGCTCGCCCGGGCTCCCTTTCCCATTGGTCCTGGCAGTGATTTCAGCATCAGGGTCTGAAGTTGCAGAGTCATTGTCTAAAATTTGCAAATGAAGAAATAATCAAATTTAACCTGAGCCTTTGTATTTACTTATTAGGCAGTTCCATTGAAACTAAGTCAAGAAAAGGAAATCTTATCACCATTATCAAATGGTTCTGGACGTTCTAACGCACAGGTTCTCAAAACGTAGTGGACTCCAGGTGTCCCTAAGACTCTTTTGGGGGGTCTGCAAGGGAAAAACTATTTTCATAAGAAGTCACAATCACCGTATTTTTCACCATTATGTACACATTCACTGTAAGTAAATAAGGCAGTTACACTAAAAAAATCCCTGATAAAGCATGAAAATTAATAATTTTATTAAATCTCACCTGCAAGTAAGTACATGCCTTTTTAATGTTCCATGTGATGATGTGGGGAGTCCACATACAGTTAAGTTTGCTACACACCCAATTACCAGGGTTATCTCAAGTAAAAGTATTAGTGTGATTGTTGAGTTGCGAACTTAACCAGCCACTTTTGCCATGAACACCGTTTTTACTTGGAAGAAAAATTGACAGAAAAACTACGATTACTTAGACTTGTGTATTTGGCAGACATTTTCTCAAAAATGAACTAAGTAAGTCTGTCATTTCAAGAAAAACTATTGATGGTATTTGTTGCTAACGATTAAATTTTGAGCAAAACTCAGAATTTGGGAAACTATATTTGCCATCAGGAGCTGAATGAAATATGGGTAGCTACTTCCCATACTTATAGAATTTTCTGATAAGATAGATGGTGAGATTAATAAATGTGATTTTTTTGATAGTGTGTAATGAAATGTGTTAACATTTGGGAAGATCTTCATAACATAGTGAACCAATGTTTTCTAAATGACCAATGTATGATTCATAACACCATGCGAAGGTAAAAGATTCATTCAAAGAGTGAGACAGACAGATGGATTTTAAAGTATTAATAACAGGATATGAAATCATTGATATGGCTGCAGATTCCACGTTACAGCCAACCTTTAAGAAACTACCAGTTGTCAACTTTTGGCGTAGTATCAAAGAAAAATATCCACTATTATCTGAAAGGCATATATTACTCCTCCCTTTTCCAGCTACGGGTCTGTGTAAGCTGGAGTTTCTTCATATATTTCAATCCAAACAGCATATTGCAACAGACTGAATTGCAGAAGCAGATAAGAAAATCAGTTGTTTTTATTAAACCAGACATTAAAGAGATTTAAAAAATATGTAAATAATGCCATTCCCAATAAA